GCGTGTCTCGTTGAATAATTTACGATATTAAGTTTGAAACGCGCGCGCGCGCGCGCATGCAACTTCGACGTCGGTAAAATTATCAATTCCTGGTGAGATATATATACACAGGCATCGAGCGACGCAACGGGTAAATAAAATTTCTCTCGGAATTTATTTAATCTTCTTTGCTTTGACGTCTTAGAAGAGTATGGTAAATATCTTGCGATGAATTACATTTCTAAAAATGGTGGAGTAAAAAAAAACCTTCTTCACATGTATCATGAAATGTCATGTCGAGTAATGAAAGAAAACGATAAATTTTATATTTTCACAACGATAATTCGAAAAATGGTATATGGCATTTGTTTAAATTTGATTAAGCTGGATGTTATTTTCATGCTTTTTAATATACTCGACTGTATGTAAAAGTTTCAGAGCTGTGCATTCATTTTCAAATTTAAATTCTAAATTATCCAAAACAGCCACGTTTAGGAGATCTGCCCATATAAGTTAGAGGAAGCATTATTCATTTTTCTAGAAAAATACGTATGTATACGCGTGCGAGCGCATAAGCCCTGAAATATAGAGCTTTCAACTATAATTTAACTCTCGCGTGTTTTTCCAGCATCAAAAAATCATCCCTCGTTGCGCACCTGGGGACTGCACAGCGAAGCGCGAGCGCGCCGTTACAACGAGCTGAGCGAGCGAGTCGAGGAAAATAACTCGAAGCGAATGGAATATAGTTCCGTCGTCGTCGTCGTCGTCGTCGTCGTAGTCTACGTCTCCGCTGAGCTTTACAGTTATGTATCTAAAATATTAATAAAATAACGCGCGTAAAAACAGAAGCTTTACAATCATAGCCTCGCGTGACGAGCTAACGAGTTGCCCTGAGAGCTCGGAGCTGAGAGAGCAGCAACAACAATTTGCAATTCTAGAAGAGAAAAATAACACAACGCAGCCAGAGCATAATACAGTGCAGGAGTTGAGCGCGAACGCCAAGATGAAAGGAGCTTTTTGCTTTTACGAAGAGGGAGAGAGAGAGAGAGAGAGTTGAGCTGCCGCTGCTGCGTCTTCGTTCGCGACAGGCGCGAAAATGGCAAAGGGGGTAAAACGAATGAAACGTAACAAGCACGCCGCGCGCCATGCCGTACTACTACACCAGGCGCCGACAATTCAAAAGAGCACAGTGCAAATAAGAAGTAGTGGCCGCACACGCTAAAACGAGCAGTACGAAATAGATTGAGAGAAAGAGCTGCGCCGCGTTTTAAACAAACAGAGCGTGACTACGACCTTTGCCGCGCGCTCGCGCCTGCATACCGGTAGCTTGTAATACAAGACAAGCCATTACATCGGAGAGCTGTGAATTACAGCGAACACTCCTCTTTTTGCCTTTTTTATTTTCGTCATATACCAGTGCGACTGTGAACAGTTCATTGAGAACAGTGCTCGAGAAACGAGAGGCGGTGGACAATTTTATATCACAACGTTATTGTAAATGCTTTGCACATAATAATTATAATAATACAGCGGCTATATATATCAGCGACGAGACAGGGATTTTTATGTACGATATACACACAATCCGGCGTTAGCCAAATTACGAAAGTTAATTATTCAAAAATGCACACATCGAAAATATTCTGCAGCTCGTCGGGGGTGCGCAGGCCATCGCGCTTACAATACCTGCCCTGCCGCTGCTGCTGCTGCTACTGCTGCATGTATATTATAAATATAGTCGTTATTGCTGCGCGCGCGCCTGCTCCATCGCTACCCAACTATATACTACTTATACTTTGAACGTTGATTAATTCGTAATATAGGTCGACGCGCGCCGAGCGCTTTTACCTAAAGAGGGAGAGAGAGAGAGAGAGAGAAAGAGAGAAAAAAGTAATGAATTATTCGAAGAGTTTCGCATTTTCCCTGACGAAATTAAATTCCTTTATTAGCTTCATTTTGCGCAACGGCAGCAGCAGCAGCAGCAGCAGAAGCAGCAGCAGTAGCAGCACAAGCAAATCTCCGTAATACACTCGAATTCAACAAGCCGTATAATGAGCAGCGAATTAATATTTCTCTGTGCGTACGCGATAAACAAATAGTTTAAGGAGAAAATATCGACATGCAGGGTGTGCGTAAATTTATAAATCAACTTAGAAACGCTAAAAATCAAAACCTTCCCCCCTTGAAAGCCACACGCACGCGATACAACTGCGAAATTCATACACACACGCGACCGACTCATGCGATCATATACAAATTTACTTCAGCGGTAAACTTATACGCGTACACGATAAAATTCATTCTAAACATTCCTTGCACGCTTGGCTGTGTGTTTTACATACACACATGCACTCTTTCGGTATATATAGGTACGATATGTGTGTTCGAGCTTGCCACCGCACTGCATCGAACGTTTATACGTGCGGTATATATATACCTATATGCGAGAGGGTAGCTTTTCATCCATGCGATTTTTCGAAGCTTTTTCTCCTCCATGCAGTGAACGCAGCGCGTGTCAAGTCGATGCATTATTTATATGCGTTAAAGAGAGAGAGAAAAACTTCAAAAACATTGAACAGACACAAAAGACTGACAGTATAAACGTGACCGATATAGGAAGGGGGGTGAGTCGAGAACCACGCGCTGCGTTCGTTCGCTCGCTCTTTTAAAGGAACTTTTTGGCGAATTTTCGTGCACGCAGCGCAACGCCTGTGTACGCCTGATTATTGTTCATGCGATAAATCATACGTTATAGTTTGGCCCGAGTGACGGAAAGAGAATATAACTCTTTTCGATAATTTTGACGTTGATTTTCGACTCGTGTCTCGACGCTTGCTTAATATTTATATTTATAAAGCATAATTGCAAGATACTTGAGTTACGCGAGCAACTTGTGTTATTTTAGGCTGAAAGCTCGAGTCAAAGATACGTACACGCATACACAGCCGCATTGTTTATTTGACGCTATGTATTATATATATAATCGACCTCTCCTGCGGCCACCTTCATAGAGGCAGTTTATATATACATTACATGTATGCAAGGGTGCTTGTTTGTAAATACATATAGCATGGCAAATGCCATGCATTTCGATCAGTGCTTCTATGTATGTGTATTCAGGTGAACGTTTTGATTAGTAACTCCCTTCCACCCTCCTATTCCCTTTCCCTCGTGCCATTTGGTATTTCGAACGCTCACAGATGGATCCATTATTTGATGACAATTTGTTTGTCATCGATAATTGGTAGATGACAAGGTATTCGGGGAAAAATAAGCGACTTCGTGCCGGATAAACATGCTCGTAAATTGGCAATAATGTTATATTAATCGAGACATGGGAAAAATCAAAAATTTAAACGCGAACCATAACTAAGCTTCAATTTTGAAGAAATATGTACGTACATTTAACCAAACCCGACTTTAATTTATCGATGAAAAATTTGCCTTTCTAGGTACACGTAATTTTGTCCCAGTCAGTCCCCGCGTAATACCTAATAAATTACTGGCTAGTTATTATAGCATTAAATGACACCCGTCTATACTACACAAAAGAACTTTCAAAAAAGAAAAAAGGAAAAAAAGAAGGAGAAAAAAGTAAAGAAAGAAAGAAAGAACGATGGCGTCCCGCAAGAGAAAAGAAGTCACCTATACTTCGGACACGCGTCCACGCTCACGCCCATTTTTCTGACGCGCAATACGTCGGGCTTGTTAAACGCACCACTGAAGAGGCGAACACGCGCGCAGCAGCAGCAGCTGGAGACACAAGTCAGTCTGTGTCTCTGTGTGCGAGTAACTGTGTGAGAGTGAGCGCGTCTGCGCGTGTCGTGTACGCAGCCACGCCAGGAGCAATTTATACGTGTATTCGGGAGAAAAGTTTCGGTTTTTACGCATATTCAACTTTTCTAATAGACTCTCGGGGCTTTCGCGCACTCGATTCGATTTATCAAGCTCGCGGAGGCCAACGAGCTCTTTTTTCATCTCTCTTTTTGCTACACCCGAGAACTCGGACGATGTGCGTGCGAGGATTTAATATTTTAAATCGCTACTGTGCTCGTATAACACACGTATGTGCGAATCGGTACTCGCGCGAGCATATGCGTGGCTGTATACAAATACGCACGAGCAAAATACGGAGCACCCCGTGCGTGTGCGCGTATATCCTGAATTATAACCGATGGCTGACTAAATATTTAATCGCTCTAAAGAGTCGATAATATTAACGTGATCGAATTCGAAACTCTTGATACGCGAAACGCGCGCAGCGCGGGGAAAAATATATCGAAGCTTGTGTGCTCCGTATCACCGAGTCATAGCCAAATGGAAAATTTTAACAGAGTCAAAAATTCAACTGATGGCTCGATCGCAACCTGCTTTCATCTGCAAACTCAATTTCAACATTCGCGTGTTTATAAACAGGGAGCGGGGGGGGGGGGCAAAAATTTCGATTCGTTAACGAAATAAAATTAAAACAAAAAATATATACGCCATAAAAGAAAATTTCTTTAGCTCTTTCCTTAGAGAGGGTATACTGCCTGGTGCACAGCTTTCGCGCTGCAACGATTTTAATGACTATTACCAATACAGAGAGAAATGTTGTGAAAGGAAAACTCCTTGAATAACATTTAGATTTTCAACAGGCTGATTAAAATATTTTTCGAGGGTCAACTGATCGATAATGAATTTTTTTTTACTCTCTCCTCAACCCCGCGATGTAACTCAGGAGTTTCAGTTCGACTCGAGCATAGAATTCAACTCAAAACTTTCCAATTATGTTTCCGTTTTTTTTTCGTTCATTACCTCGAGATTTTTTGCACATCAAGGTATATATACTCGTGTAATTTTTTACTCGACGTCGGAAACTGCGCTTTAACAATGAAGGAATTTGATCATAATAAATAGGACCCAAGATAATATAGATATCTCGCATGTATAGATAGCTGAACAACAAAAAGGAGTAAAAGATAGGGAGTAGTGAGGTAAAGAAAGTGAGAGAGAGAAAGAGAAATAGTAGAGCCACTCACCCTGAGCATAGACGAAGTGAAGCTGGCCGAAGACGATACCGACGGCGAGAAGCGCGACGAACACCTCGAGGGCGTAATGCTGTTGGCTCCAAGTCATTCTCTATCCTCTCTCGCCGTGATGGTCGGGGGGAACTTCTTCTTTTCCTTCACTCTACGTCCAGGTTGGATGATAGTGGTACTGAACCCACACTCTTACCCCGATCTTTATATTTAGTTCTTCTTCTTCTTCTAGCACTGCATATCACCACCTTTGTATTTTCTCTGTTCTTGCACATCAAACGCGCCACGGTACCTTGTGTACATGTATTTTATACGAGATAAATTACTCTTTATAATATATGTATCATCAGCCGCGCACCCACACTATCTTTTGTATTCGAACACTGGTATGATACTTTGACACGCGTCGATGTTGTTTTTTTCTCTTCCTCTTTAGTTCTCGAGTACACGCGCGCACATATATGTTTAATTCATTCGATATATGTCTGTCGTCGCTGTTACGTCGAGCCGAAATAGACCCACCTGACTCTCCAGTATTCTTCCATCTTCAACACACGCAAACGTTGTATAGGATTATATTTTCGTCGCTGCGACTGCTGCGTTGATCAGGACATCGATACCTTCTGAAAAAGAGCAATGAAAGGAAAATATTAGTCACGATAATGTTCGCGTAATCGATCATTCTCGATATCATATTCATTGAATTATGAAACCCTAAAAATTTGTATCTAAAAATTTTCAAGCACCGGTTATCAATCGAAGTTGTAGCCAACCGACTTATTGAAGAAACCTAAGCCATCCCACACATTCACACACACGGACACTTTCTCACAAAAAGAGAGCTAGATCGAAGCTTTTTATGGAGAGAAGAGCTTTTGAAGCGTTTGGAGAGAGAAAAAGAGAGAGAGAGAGCTAAGATTCCTCCAACATCAGCCACAAGACTTATATGCTGCTATACGCGCCAAAGTTCGAGAGGGTCAAAGTGTATAGGCTATATAATATACGTGTCTTGACTTCATCAATCATCCCTCTATCCCAGCGTCGATAAAGAGCCTGTCGATTCACAGTGTGATCTTTTCGCGCGCTAGCAAAGATCCTGAGAATATGAGCCGCGTTTCAACTTGGGCTATATGCATTGGTTCTAAACACTCTTGAAAAAGTTAAGGCGCATACGCTCGAGAGAGATGCATTTTCGATAAGTCAAATTTTTTCAAATGCTCATTTATTCGAGAGCTTTAATAGATGAAAACTCAATCGATTTCAAATAAATCGCGCGGATAAATGCTAATAAAAGTATAAACTTCAAGAAAATTTCATTTATATTCGATAATTCGAATTGACGTTGATGTAACGAAATGAAAATACAAGTCCACAGCTCGGTTTATGCAAAATAACAAAAAGTTCGATATTTTTGAACGTAAAATGCAATAAAGTTGAATACTGCATTGAAAAATCTCGGGAGCCAAAAGAGAGAGAGAGAGAGAGAGAGTAGCATTTGACAACTATGCATAGAAATATGGAAAAAAAGTACTACGAGATTTCAAGGAAGTAAAAAAAAGTTCGTAAATATATATGTAGTGAGAAAGAGCCGCCCCCCGTACGTCATTAGTAGGCATTCATGTGCTCGTTGTAAGCATGGTTGGCTCTCAATCCCGCAAACTCCTAAAACTCGCTGTCCGTGTGTGTGCTCCTCCTTTATGTGTAAAAACGCACGCGTATGTTTAGTTTGTCAGTGTTGGTTCAAACTACACACACACACACTCGAGAAACTGAATTTTTCGTAGAAAAACGGACCTTCTACAACTGACTCTAATATATATAGAATAAGCGCGCGCGCACCATGTGAATAGCCGATGCGCACGAGAGTGTCATCTATATGCTGTGTGTATTATATATTAGGGCCAAGCGCGCGACATTTTTTCCTTCGCTTCGCTAAATTTTGACGCGCTCATCCATGGCTTGGCGTATTATATTCACGCGCGCGCATGCCAATGGGACTGTGACTTTTATTCAGCTGCTATTTTTGTCTTTGGCTGTGCTGCTGCTGCTGCTGTCAAAATCGATACACATTACACGGCGAGTTTAAATTTAATAGTAATGACGTATTTTCGATACTCGACGGATCGCAATTTGAAATTAGTCTTTTCTCTATAATTCTCTCCTTTTCACTTTTTCTTTTTTGCCATTCTACCTGCGCGCTCCAACTATATAAATTCTCTTTTACATTATCATTTTCTTCCAGCAAAGAGAGTGTGTCTGTGCTGCCGCTGCTGCTGCTATTACCAGTACTGCTACTGCTGCTCCTACTGGTGCTACTACTTCTGCACTGCTGCAACGAGATCAGGAGAGCACTAATGAATCCGTAGTGCGGCGAGGTATGCGGTTCACTCATAATCTAAAAGTCAGAGATTCGAGAAAACTACCTTCTCTCTCACTGTGGTATAGATATATCCCGTGTATAGTGTGCGCCATGAGGATATATCTATATACACGCATCAACGGAGGCTAATGAATCGAAACAAGTGAAGCGCAAATGAAACGAGACGATTGCTGATTGCTTCAATTCCGGCGTGTACTGGCTGCCGTGTATATACGTATATTTTTATGGGCGCAAACGATTTCAATGTTTTTCTTTTTACCCCAGTTCTTCCTTTTTTTTTATATATACTATATGTTGCACGATGCGAGCTTTCGATAATTAAAGTTCAGTGAGAGGAACAATCGTGCAAATTCTCAACATCTTGTTTATTTTATTTATTAACTGTCGCTCCGAGGGCGTGTAAGTGCAGATACATTCGTATGCCATCAGACGAATGAAAAAAAGTAAAGTCGATTCTTATTAGAGCAAATAGGTTGCAGCAGTTACACCTGCTGCGAAAGAAATATATTAATTATTCGGAACAACAACAGTGATGGATTAAAGCGGCAAAATTATTGATCATTGTAAACCAATACCATCCACCTCCTGTCGGGCGATTCGCATTGAAATTTAATATTCAGTTTTCATCCAGGCGTTTTTTAAGGCGACATAATCCGCCATCAATCCGAGCAACTTTTTATATAACTCAAACAATAATTACGCGTTTTATGCAGAGTAGCTGCAGTGTGCCGTACCGCGAGTGAGAGTCTGTGTGCAGTCGAATAGAATCACTCGAAGCTCGCTTTGAGCGCGTCGAAAGTTTTTCCTTTTTTTTTTGCTCGCGAGTAACCTGGATATTTCGATTTCATAGTCGACATTTTGCGCGCACGAGCGTTAGAGAACTTTAACCGCGTTAGATGCTAATCAGCCGCGGGTTTTTATTAAAGGATAATTAGTCGCGTCGATGTATATGGAACGACAATTTTTTCGTGAAACGGGGCGCGTGCCGTTTCACCCATGAGCCACTCATCGATTCGTACCTTCGAGTGTTTTTACCCGGGGCTCGCTGCAAATTGGTGGGTGCGCACACAAAAAAAGGGCCAAAAAAGGAGCAATCGAAACCATCACGCGTGGCGTGGTTTCGACATTTGTCGAATTTAGTTTATTTGCGGTTGCGCCTGCTTTCTATTATGTATATATCTTTTTCTTTCTCTCCCTTTCTCGCTCTCTCGTATACACGCACAGGCCCGTTCAAAAAATGTATATCTATATACACGTGGCATAACAGCCAATGTTGTTTTTCTTTTTATGGCAGACGTCGGACCGTAAAACTGCAAAAGGACTAAAGGAACGAAAGAGAGGGAGAGAGAAAGAGAGAGAGAGAGAGAGAGAGAGTGGGAGACAACGACGAGCTTTTGGGGGCTTGAAAATTTCGTAACCAGACCAGGGCTGTTGCTGGTGCTGCCCTATTAGCGGCTACGGCGACCGTTTCGATATCCGATTTTATCCTGCAGTATTGACGAGAGCGAGAGAGTACGCGTCGGAGCAATATTTTTTTCCATTTCATTTCACCGCGATTTTCATTTTATTTTCTTTTTTTGGGGCTTTTGTATCCGTTTATTCGGGAATAATAGAAATGAGCCCGAAAATCTCCCGTACGACACATATTTCACGGTAACAAAGTCCACTCGCGGCAGTTAATCGATTTTTCGATCTTGTTCGGTTCAATTTTTTTCTTTCTCTCTCCTTCTCTCGAACTCGCTTCAACTTATTTTATGGTGTTTGTTTTGGGGGGTGGGCGCGCTTATTGCACATGTCGTAAAGTCGAAATTTTTTTTATTGATTCTAACGAAGACTTGTGTCATCTGCATGTGCCGACAATCATGCAACCGTACGGGGAATATATGATTGGTCTTAATTTTAATACGGTATCCGCATTAACGCCGTTGTCAACGTCGTCTTCATCGTCGTCGTCTACGTCGCCGTCACGCAAAAAAAGCCAAGAAAATTGAAGCAATCGTTCTTGATGATCAGAGGCGCGGCCCCCAGTGCTAGGCATCAGCATCATTAAACGATGAATCATATACACGGTACGAACTTAATTGATACGATGCGGAGGGACTTGTGCGAGTTCGTGAGCGGCTCGCTCGACATTAGAATTATTAAAAGCCGTCGTTTTTCGGCGTATATTTTCACCACTCTCCCGTATGTACAATGAATATTGGCGCCCACACGCTATAGTGACGCGTGTTTTTTTTTAATCAGAAGCTCTTTTATTAATCAGAAATTTTCGTGCTCGCTTTTCGTGTATTCACTATATAATATTTCAGGCACGAGCTTTGCGCGCACACACACGTATAAGAGTGTAATATACAAAATAATAAATACGTAAAATGATAAAGTATACTACGCGTATTTTACATGCCATGGAAAGCGGGTCCTTCACACGCGAGCTATAGTTCGTGCTTTTTTTGTGCCCTCGCGTCCCTTTTCACCATATCTCGCTTGTACGTATTTTCCTTTTTTTCTCTTTCCTTTTTTTGATGTACCAACGTTATAACGCGTACTCACGCGCACGCGGATGTGTGTATCATTTTTGTAGAATATTAAAATGTATTTGATGCTTTTTCCTCGGGTACCCGAGCGCGCGCCAACCCGTGTCTATGTGTTGTACAACGCATGCAGCCGCCTGTTGAATCTCATCTCTCTTTCTCTCTCGCTCTCTACATCCAGCGTTGAGCAGAGCGCGGGTGCAATACCATTTCTTTTTCAGATATATAGAGAGAGAAAGAGAGCATATGTATGTATACGAGCGTATGTGTGAGTGTAATATGTGAGCCGCGGCACATGCAGTAGTAGCAGAAGCAGTAGCAGAACTAGTGTATAGAGAACCGCAAGCATGAAATGCGCCGTGTGCCGTTCACCGCACACATCGAGCTCTCGCTTTTCTATCCTGCTGCTGCTCCTCTTTTTTTCTTTTTTTTTTTTTTAATTTCGAAATCAAAAGAAAATCAACGTGTATGAGCTATTCATCAATCAGCAATCGAAGTTCATCCACACGCCCGCGCAACAGATCTAATGAGAGAAAATTATCTTAATTTTCTGTTGGCGATGGCATAACTCGCGCTAAATTATGCATGAATAATTGCCTCTAGTCTATGCTATGCTAAATTACCTTACCGAGCTTTCGATACAACTAAAAACACAACCAAATATTAGAAACAATATATAACCAAGTAAACGTCATCACTCACAATTTAAAGGCAATTGACAGGCCGAGATAACAAGCTAAATGCAACGTGTGTATAGGAAATCCACGTGTTCGCTTGCAAATGCTTTAATTCGACGTATGATCGATGGACCACACCAAAACGTGTAATCGAAGCAAGCACTACTTCACGATGCCAAAAATTAAACGAATACACTGGCACTCTTTGATTTCAATGACCTATCGCCCCTCGTCATAGTAGATCCATCGATACAATAATATTTCCTATATAATATTTCGAAACAACTGCGCTCTTGCATCCATCAGCTTGCAAAATGGAAGATATCGCACCTGTCAATAATCTGGCCCCTCAAAGCTCTCCCATGCAGTTTCGCATCGTCACTTATATATTTTCCATATGTTATCCGCCGCACATCATTACGATTATATCATTCTGCGGATCCTGCGTTAAACATGTCACTGCGGGAAAAAATCGCGCGTACTGCACACGGCCACTGTATTTTATAACCACCAGTTTTGCACACTATTTTTTTTTTTTTATCCTTTCATCACGGAAAAATCTTCCTTAGGCCTTTCAACAGGTCCATCGTAGTCGTAAACCCTTATTATTATCATAAGCAATTGGCAACCGATTTCAGCCGAATCGCTGCACATACGTTACACGGACAAACACACTGTCGGGCCCGTTCGGGTACTAGTACGAGTATCGGAGCATATGTATGACACTCGTGCACTCCGTCGTCGTTGTGTTTACGTTGCGCTTGGTAGCACAGCTGCAGCGGTACTGAAAATTTCTGCCGAGCGCTGCTGCCGCTGCGACTGCTACTGCTGCTGCGCTGCGCGCACGAGCCATATAGAAAGAGAGAGAGAGAGAGAGAGAGAGAGAGAGAGAGAGAGAGAGAGAGAGTATAGTTCGCGACATCACCACCCTGGGCGTCGCGACGCCCTTATACACGTATACCGCCGCGCAGGGTACACACCTCGGAGTCGGCGCTCGCTCGCTGCTGCCGTTACCCCTCCTGCGTTGGCCTCGAGAGTTTCTCACTACGCTATCCCCACCCCATTCTCTCCGCTTGCTCTCTCTCTCTCTCTCTCTCTCTCTCTCTCACTCTATTGCAAAGCAGAACAGATCAGCGCAGCTCCTGGGTAGCGGCAAGAGCAACCCCTCTGCGAGAACCCCTACTCCTTACTCTTTTTCTGCCTCTCTCTCTCGCTCTCGCTCTTTCTCGCTTGTATATTTTCTCGACGCTGCGATAGGTATATGGCGTGTATGTTGCGGTGCTCTTGAGAGGTGTGTACCGTTTACAAAAGTGGCTTCTGCGGATTTTCAAAGCTCTGATTTCACGCACGTATACGTGTGTGTGTGTGTGAGTGTACGCGCGATACATATACACATGCCACATAGAGAGCCCGAGTGCTCGACAATGATTGGATCGAAGAATTGAACGCGACACCGGGGCTATGTGCCTCGATGCGGTTTTATTATGATTGAATTTCAATCGGCTGATTATTAAACGCGAAATCCGTGTCGATATACAGGCGCACACATTATACCAACGAATATACTTCACTTCACTTCAGAAGTTCATTTACACGCGCTCAACGATGGCTAATATCGCGCGCCGCGCCTCTGCCGTCCGCGTGAACTCGATGAGGAAAGTTTCTCACTCCCTCAATCTCTCTCTCTCTCTCTCTCTCTCGATATCAGCATGCTTATCTCTTCGGGGCGCTCGTAGATTTTCGCGTCACAACCATCGCTGGCGTTTATTAATCTCTAACGTGCGTTTATTACAATTATTATCCCCTGAATCTTTTGTGCTTGGAGTGCGAGATTTATTGTATAATCATATATATATATCGTGTGCGAGAGAGAGAGGGAGGAGAGCGGCTTAAATATTTTCACATTTTCAATGCGAGCGCAAGATTACTCGATGCGCTTGTACGCGAAAAAAAATTAAATTTGCGCGTAACTCTTATAATTTTTTGCGTACAATTTTTTCTCTGCTGTAAAATAAAAGAAGGAAGGGAGGAATTGTTTATAATTGAGCGTGTTAATCCTTGACGATCTACATTCGAATTCAACTTTTTACCGTCGAAATGATTATTAAATTTTCTTCCAACGCTAATTCCATGAATTATTTAATTATAACGAAAGTATATCGAAGCGGAGTTAGCATTATTAATTTACTTTTAATTTTGAGAGATACGCGCACGCTGACTTAATTTGGATTTTACAACGCGTTTAATTCGACTTTACTTGCTTTTTACTTTATTTGTATAAATTTCTCGTTCATGGTAAAAAAATATTAGATTCTATACATTTTTTTGTATACCTAAAACTTGAATATCATTTCAGCTCGAATATAAATTGACTTTTGAAGTATTGGAATTATATCGAAATCAATGAATGGACAGTTTGGACCAAACAAAACTCATATTATCCATCATGTTGAAAACAGTTTCGATCGCTGATATTTCTTGGCGTTCTTCTGTCGTTTTGTTTCCTTTTTTCAGCTCTCACGCGAGAAAAATGACACTTAGCCATGTGCAGCGCACAGCAACAAGAAAGAGAGAAAGCAGGTAAAAAATTGACCGGTATATTTCATACTTTCGCAATGATAGTGATGAATAATGCTCAGTTCTTTGTACGTGTGTACGTATATGCGTGGGCGTGGCTTTTAGGGCTGTGTAATTGCGACGTTGAAGATCAGATTAGCTCCGAGTACTCATTTGCTTTTGCGATTCGCGAGGCACGTATATGTGTATGTATGTGTGTGTATGCATTTAAGCACTACGTAAATTGCTTGCGCCAATCTATACATACACGTATACATGCACACACACACACACACACACAGGCATACGTATACGTTTCTTAAAAGAGGAGGCAATTTGTACACAGTCACTAATATTCAAACGCACATGTAAGCTCGCATTCGTCGAGGTTCAGTGACTCTTTTCCGTAAAGTCGATCGATGTACGTGTAATTTACTTTGCTTGGAGCCCACACATAACTATTCGTCTAAATGAAAGATGGACTTAGCCAGTGGGGTATGCACTAATTGTCGACCCTCATTAAAAATGCCAGCCAACTTATTATTAACTAATATATTAAGCTACAAAATTGGATACCGTATAAATAAATGAATGGGGCAAAAATAAGAGAGGGCCGATATGGTCTCTGTATTCGATCACTCTAATTAAATGACACTTCCAACGATAGCCACGCGCGCTTTTCCAGCTTCCCTCCGAGAAGAACCGAGAAAAAAAGAGAGATTGAAATATATTATATGAGGGTAGGAGTACGAGAGCAGCAAAAGCTAGCTTTAAAATAAATGGATTATATGACCCAAGAGTTCCTTTAAATACATCAATTTGCGGTCCTTTGGACGAGGAGAAAAAAACGATATTGATTCACTGATAAATTTGATTCGAGCTCGCGTGGACAATAGCTTTCAAAAAAGTTAATAATGAGAAATAATATTTTTTCGCAACTGCCGATGTAATTAATAACTTAATTTTATCCTTTAAAAAAAAGCCGTGTGGAAGATTTTTGCAAACAGTTTCTATATTATGGCTGTATGTATTCACACTAGATATTAAACGCACATATAAAACATGAAAAATGTTCGTCAAGCAATCTCCATTATGTATACGAACGAAGCCTCATGTCGTTTACTTTCTTCTTTCTTTCTTTTTTTTTTGTTATAGCGCGCATCATATACAATATATCCACGGCTAACAGTAGCAACACACATAGTCCACGAAAGGCTTCTCTCATAAATATCTGGTGCGTATAAAGATTCACCTATATACATGTGCGGGCGTACGTACGCGTGTAAGCAATAGTTTTAAAGTGGCGGATGTGTGTACTCTCGTCACCCCCGCGCGCGCATGGAAAAAAGCCGAGTCGTTTTATACGTTGTGGTGCGCGACTGGCTACAGGTCGATGCGTTACGTAAAAATATAATCGTCGGACGATTGTCGCGAGAAAAATTTAATAATCTTCGATTGTATTATATCAGTTGATCGCTCGGAATTTCTCGCAGCTCGGCGATTGATATCTGTCACTCGTGCGCGCAAGCCTTATATAACGCACTGCACCATTAACGGGTGCGACGATCATGATTGCTTCAATTGCTTCAGTGAGCAATGGAATGTATACCTTTCTTTTTTTGAAATATTCATTAATATATACCATGAAAAAAAGTGATAATAACAATAATAAAAATAATAAACCAACGGAACGTGCTTCATTTAGGATCGTGCAATGTAGCCGCAGCTACATAGCATAGCAGCTCATCGCAGCTCACACACATAACACATATAGCACACACATGTACATGGAACCCGCGCGTGATTTGTTGAAAGGCAAACATTCGTATAATGGATTTAAAGCATGCAAATTTTCGGAAATGTTCGCTTCTTAATGCAATTCAAAATCACTATTTCAGCTGCTGCGCGCGGGCGTGTAGCAGCGAGCCCACCGCACACTCGCACGCAGACACATATTTATACACACCAGCGTGTACCAACGGTAGCTGCGCGCGCCATGGCAGATGGTAAATTTGAATACAAAATGCAATCATCTGTGCGCGCGAATATAGATACCACCGCCGCCGCCGCGGCTCTCTCCGCGCTCAGACATCCTCGCGCGTACGTTTTACCATATATATAGAGGTACAAATAGAAGAAATATAAGTTTCGCGCTTTATGTCCGGTTTGCAGCGTGTGTTGTATCCTGCACACCGACAACGTGTATACAATGCGAAGCATGATGTGTATAACCCAGTTTTTGTCGGCTGCACATTTCTATGCCCGAGGAAGTGTATAATTACCCCAAGCCAAAGCATAAACGAGCAACGATATCACCGTGTCCATACTCATCTCTCTTTCGCTCTTTCTCGCTATCTCTCGCTCATTCTGTCTCGCTCCCTGTCGCGCGAAAGGTCAAAGAACGTGTAGCATATTGCGGAGCTGTTGGCCGCTACATATTATACAAATATATCTTTTTCCTTCTCTCCCTCTTTCTCTCTCTCTCTCTCTCTCTCTCTCTCTCTCTGTCGCTCTTTTCAAGTGTATATACTAGCATATATTCGCACGCGCAGGACGACAGGCTTTTGCGTCACTCGTCGACCTGCTATACTATAGCCGCTAGCTGCTACTATAGGCGCTCTGCATTCATAGTAATGGAAAGCAGGGCCAACGTGGTGTGTGTGTCTCGGCTACTACTGCTACTACTGGGGGTGATAAAGCTGTTTCCGCGTGCACACCCGCATAATAGTACTACCTTGCTTTTCTCTGCCTACTGCTGCTGCTGCTCCATGGCCAACATCACCCCCGCGCTCTGCTCTGTATGTACACGACAATCTCTCGCTGATTTGTTGGACGACTGGCCGATGTCGCGTGTAGTGTACGTATGTACGTACGTCTCTGTGTGTTGTTCGCTTGGCCGCGCGCAAGGCACGCAAAAATACTCCCGCCGCCGCCACGCCATGACGTCCTGCCACATATAATACGGGGTGCGCAGGGGTGCAAACATACGTATAATTGCTGGGATTAAGGCTGTACTGGGTCGCAGAAATTGGAAAGACACGCGCTGCACGTGTGTGCAAAGAGCCAGAGACCATTTTGGGAAATGGCCATCCAGGGCGCGCCGCATGAGATCGGTGCGTCTGCTATTTATGAAAAATATGCCACAAGAAATTTGGACGTTATTAAAATAATTGCCATCGGTGCAGGCGGGGGGCGTCAT